ATTCTCACCTTATCGCACCCTATGCTACCAAATTAGGACGAACTCATGTTAGTATTCACTGCATTATCTAAAGTCAAAGCTGTCAAGGATGAGCAGAATTGCAAGATATTAACAAAGTTCAAAACGGCCTTTTAGTGAGAAACGCAGGTGTTGTTACTAGCTGGAAATAATATAATCGAAATGTTCGAGATCAATTCTCAAGCATTAATTGCAACTCTTCCACGAAAAATTCACAATCAATTGCAAAAAAAGGCAATGTGAGACTCGAATCGTCCTATTGAGATGGAGGGCGTGCGGGAGTTCCTAGCACTTTTCCTCGCACCAGGCCACGCTCACTGCTCCACCCATTTACTGGTCACATTGTAAGGTGTGCAAGCAGCGAGAGCATAGGCTCAGTATCAAAATAAGGGAGAAACAATGGAGGAAAACAAAGAACATGATTATCATTTCTCAAGTAAGGAGGCTCAGAAACTTCTGCTAAGCCATCCTTTCAAAATGAGCGTTTCAATTATTTCAAATATTTGTTATTTTTTATGGAAAACTCGATCATCAAAATATCAGAGAATCTAATTGATCGGTTGCAAATTACTGGTCATCTGTTTTGAAATTTAGTATCAAGACTTGAATAATTGAGTGACCAGAAACGGCGCCCTACTACCTTCTCATCACTAGAAAATTATCTGTTTTGAGGGGAGTATATCTAAGTTTTCGAATAAGCAACTCAGCCGCGTTTTCCAGTAGTTAGGATATTTGAACATATATACTACAATACCGCTCATAATTCGTCAAAAAAGTCGCCGGACTGCGGCGCACTCCGCCACACTCCGCCACAATGCGCCGGAGTGTGGCAGAGTGCGCCGGAGTGCGGCAAAGTGCGCCACACTCCGCCGCAGTACGCCGGAATGATCGTCAATTTAGCCATATCTCGTCAGAATGGACGAATTCTGAATCCGAGGACACCGTTCGATTCAGCTCGACGAGACGCATCATCTTGTGTATGAAGCTAAACGTCTGTTTGTCTGTTTGTCTGTACGTATGTTCCAAATAGAAAAATCCATTTCTGAACCGATCCGGACCAAACTTGGCACACATACACTTCGGGCTCCGGCGGATGTCATAGGCTACTTTTCGTCATCGATCAATATCGATTTTATCGATTTTTACCGATTTTTTGCAGAGTTCACCTACGGAGCTGGGAGTTTGCATAGGGGGGTAATCGAGCATGGGGATTCCGAATACAATATTAGTTTTCAGAATTATCGATTATTATTTTGGTTGAATTCAGTATGAATGTCAAAAATTCCGTGAACTTCGCGGTTCCGGGATCCGCCAAAGTGCGCGATAATCCGGGAAGTTCGCGACATTTCAGGATCCGCGAAACCATGCGAATCACGCAGAGTACGCAACACCTAACTTCCTTCGGAATGAACATATTCTGAATCCGAAGAAAGCTTTGTGCTCAGTTCATCAAGGCAAGTCTTTCGATATACAGCATATCCTTGATATTCCGATTTCAATATTCTCAAATCTTTCTGTAGACATCTTTTCGTGAAAGTGTAAAGCAGCGCGCATTGCCCCTAGTAGACTCCAGCAAGGACCCTTCGATAGTACCTTTTCTTTAGATTACGAAACGCTAAAAAGTAGTCACAGGCATCTTTCCATAGGAGTTAGAAGGGCTGGTGAATTCTGGAAAAATCATGTCGCCCTAAATTTTTCTCGACGTAACTCTAAAATATGAAGCTCTCTTGCTAAGCAGATGTGATTTTCGTAATCAGCAGGTCGGATAGCCCTTATAAGCAAGTTTTCCAAGGTGTTCGAGTAATTTCATTTTTTCTCTTTTACGCTCTGAAGCTGGCCGATGAATTTTGGTCAAAATGTTCATGCTCTTAAATTATAAGGAAACTTGCCTTGCTTTGCCTCGACGATCTGAACACAATGCTGCTTCTGGATTCGGAATATATTCATTCCGAAGGAAGTTATGGCGTTGCGTACTCTGCATGATTCGCATGATTTCGCGGGTCCCGAAATGTCGCGAACTTCCCGGATTATTGCGCACTTTGGCGGAAATCCCGGTTCCACGAAGTTCACGGAAATTTTGACATTCTGCGGGCGGTATTGTGATCTTGAGCAGATCTTAGAACAAATTCGATCAGAGTGGCTCTCTACCATACTCCTATAGTATACTGTCCATGTGTCATCAGCGACAGATCAATGGTAATACTGTGATCAGCACACTGAATTCAATCAAAATAATAATCGATAATCGTGAAAACTAATAGTGTATTCGGAATCCCCATGCTCGATTACCCCCCTATGCAAACTCCCAGCTCCGTAGGTGAACTCTGCAAAAAATCGGTAAAAATCGATAAAATCGATATTGATCGATGACGAAAAGTAGCCTATGACATCCGCCGGAGCCCGAAGTGTATGTGTGCCAAGTTTGGTCCGGATCGGTTCAGAAATGGATTTTTCTATTTGGAACATACGTACAGAGAAACAGACAAACAGACGTTTAGCTTCATACACAAGATGATGCGTCTCGTCGAGCTGAATCGAACGGTGTCCTCGGATTCAGAATTCGTCCATTCTGAAGCGAGATATGGCTAGATTGACGATCATTCCGGCGCACTGCGGCGGAGTGTGGCGCACTCTGCCGCACTCCGGCGCACTCTGCCACACTCCGACGCACTGTGGCGGATTATGGCGGAGTGCGCCGCAGTCCGGCGACTTTTTTGACGAATTATGAACGGTATTGTATGAGGCACTTTATGTACTTCATATATCAGCTGAGTTTGTGTCCTCACTTTCTGCTCTGCAAATGAATGCTAAAAAAACTCGAACGGAATCTCGACGATTTATGTTTGTTAATGAAGACTTGCTCTGTAACATAGGGGTAGATAAACAGCAGTGATTAGGTCTTCGTTTGGTAGAAATCTGCTTTAAAAAGAATTCGACGGTCTATGTCAAATCCCCTTTTCCTGAGCTTTCGAATGGTGTATAGATTGCTGGGCAAAAAACTTTCAGTTTCTGAAATTGGGGTGGAGATATTTACTATTAGCTTGCTCCACGCAGCTCCCCCAATGTATTGCCTTTTATCGGTCATCGGAGCAAGTGCTATCTAGACCCAGAAAGCAAAAAAACCCTGACATGCTTTATACATTTTGAAAGCTGAGATCATGGAGAATCGATGTGGACGTCTCTTTTTTTCGTAACTTCTCGAATCGAGGTACGAGCAATTTTATACGCCTACTCACCAGCTAATTTTGTGTAATTATTTTGTGCTTCATTTTTAAAAGAAAAAACGACGATAGAAAAAAGAGACGGTCTACGTTTACTGGCAAGGTCTTCTCTGTGGTACTGTTAGGCAGTCAGGCACTTTCATTCTTTGTTCACGCAGGAATTTCTTGACAAAAACACACATGTTTTAGTCAAAATGCCATTTATCTCTAGATAGAGGGAGCTAGAGAAAAGGAGACGGTCTATGTCGAATCCCTTTTTCGTGGGCTTTCTAATGGTATATAGGTTTTTGAGTGAAAAAACTTGTGGCTTCTCAAAAATGAGGTGGAGATTCAATACTAACTTGCTCCACCACGCTCCGGCTTTCTATGGGTCACCGGAGCAAACCTTTTTTGGACTGGGAAAGCTTTGTGCACGAACACTTCATAAACCATTCGATAGCTAAGAACACGAGGAATCGACCTAGACCTTTTCTTTTTTCCTAGCTTTTCTGTGAAGCGAGATACGAGCAGTATTATCTAGCTACAATATTAGCCAATTCTGGGTAATTATCATTTCAAATCAAGAAGGTCTTTCTCGAAATTTCATATATTAATCGAAAGCTTGAGAAACGGGCAATCTAACTGCTTTTTATTTTATTTTCCTCTCTAGTGAAAGGAGATATGGTACTATTAGGTTGGCTAAAAAGTAAGTTCGTTTTGGCATACAAATTGTCATAAAAAAATTTTCTTGCTGTTTTCAATCTATGATTATTTGTGGGAAAGTAATTCAAAGCTTCCTCTATCACATATCAAATAGTCAGGATTTTCTATCGTCAGTAAAGACAGTTATGCCTCAACATTGCAAAATTTCCAAAAGCTCAATTCTTTGACTTCTTGAGCTTCGTTTTCATGCTGTAATGGATGTAAAGAACAGCAGGTCGGTGTTTGAATACGGAGGAGTTATCCATGTTTATTGAATAACAAAAAGAACTGTGATCTGCCATTTTGAAAATGTTTTACTAAGAAAACATTTCCTCATATTTGCGCATTATGGGAAAAATGCGATTTTTCACTTCTTTACGGATTTTTTTTTCCTGGGAAGATAAGTTTTACTCAAACGGACTATATGCTCCAATACCCAGTGAAGTGCTTTTTTCAGAGATACCAAGCATTGGACAAAAAATTGTCTACAGCATTTGTAAGAGCTGAAAAAGCGACCGATCTTATTTATTAGCCAACCTATTATTATTGTAGCAAACAAGCATCCATCACTAACTAGTTTAAAATTTCTACTCTTGCTTAACACTTTCTTGAGACAATGTGTATTCATTGATACAATGTTAATTATTCAAAGAATCAGATATGTTTTAATTTTTTAATTATGTTTCGTTACCAGTGCCACTTTGAGTGCGCAGAAAGTCTCGAGCATGCGTTTTTTTCAACAAAACGTGTTGATTCAATAATCTTTTGCAGCCTTGATGTCTGAGAAGAAGAGCAGCTGGCGTTTCCTTTCTAAACAAAAAGTGTCATTGTAACAGCTGTTTGATTCTGCCGTTATGCCTTGATTCTAGTCTCAACCTTAGGTGAAAGGGATTAGCCAGATGCCGGCCCTAAAGTGAAGGGGAACAGAGAAATTTCTCCACCTATTGCATCTATGGTTCTGACCATTCATTGCTCATTTCGTGGAAGGTGCCTTTGAACATATCAGAATAATAATAAAAAGTTTGCACTTTTTGGTAGAATTTCGTAACCTTCCTCATATAAATAATCCTCTTTAGGAAGATATTGCTGAATTACTCGCTGCTTATAAACTTGTATGCAACGAGATTCCGAAGGACGATTTTGATGCAAATGACCGCGTTCTCATGGTTGCAGTTTTGAGCGAGCGTGGTAATGCACTGCGCACTTCCATTACTGCTGCAATGAATTCACGTGATGAAGACGGAAACAAGGACTACAATGAGCCTGTTTCCTTTTGATTATGAATGCAAAATGTGTTTGCCATGATATATTTGCATATTTGCTTTGTTGAGTGTCTTCAATTATAGATGTACACACTGAACGCCTATTACCCTATTTTCAGGTGTATAAGCCGCACCCTGCTTGCTCTAAAGGCAAGCACGCCAAAAGATACCCTGTACCAGGGAGCGCGTTAAATGAGAGCAATGCGCGAGAAAGCGACCGCTCCGCGAGGCACAGGCGCAGCGGCGCGCAGTCTGTTAGCAATCTGGGCAAAGAGGGTGCGGCATAAACACCTGAAAATAGGGTCATTTAATGGGTTTGCTTTTCTGTATGAGTTATTGTTTGCACGATGAATAAAGTGCGTTGCAACTCCCTTGCCAGCATAGAACATTCCGATTCAAAAAAATATGTGTTGACTGATTGCTTCAAAGACTTTTCTTTCAATCTCTAACAGAGATGGAATAACCGCAGATCTATTGCATCCATACCCGCTCTGACGAAACCTTCCAGTTGACTACTTCCTAAACTAAGTGTAAATAAGCTTGAGCTTTTTTCCTATGCAAGAAGAAAGAAGAAGAACTCTGAAATAGAAAAGGCTTAAAAGAGTTAAGAGATTCAACGGTATTAGCTACGAATGATAAAGACAGCATCGTTTAGCAAGTTATTCTGCTTCAAGAGTTTTACATGTACCTATTTGTTCACGCCCAAATTTTAACGCGTTTTCTCGGCACCGCAATCACACCATATTGAGCGTAAAATCTTGTGTAAATTTGCCACGCTTTTTGCTTGATTTCATCATTGCCATACCTTCGACAGTCTAGAAACAGAGCGTAGAGTGAAGGTTGTTCGAATATCTGCCTCTCATAAAAAGTGAAGATTGTTCATAGGTCAGAGTAGAACAAAAAACAGATATCAAAAGCAAAAACTACTGAAAACCGAATGAAACACTGCCATGAGTTTGCAATCTTTTATTTGGCGCATTTGGAAGTGCAGGTTTACGCTCCAGGACCAGCAGGTAACAATACGGGGGAAAACGAAGAAAAGCTCATTTCTTCTTTAGGGTTGTTTCGAAAATAACCCTTTTGTGGAAATGGTGAGGCAGATTATCAAAAGAATATAAAGGAGAAGGGAATTAATTATAAGTTTCTTTTTGCAAAGTTTCTCTTTTATTAAGTCGAAATGCAAAGCCAAAGCTAGTTTTGATGCCATTGAATTTTCGTCCCGCATTGATGTTCCCGTTTCCGGGACGTTGTCTGGATTGTTGCGCTCATTATTCTGAGCATAATCGCCCCAGCTGGAAAAATTGCTGCGAAAGCACTGAAAGAGAACAAGTTAAAGGAAAACGCACTTCACTGTTTTTCACGGAAAAGTCCAACATATAATCTTTTTCAACCCGGAGTAGCGAAGCTTCCCAAGTGGAGGCGCGTACGCACCGCCGCTGGCTCAGCGAGATAGGTTACAATGAAGGACGCGGACTGCAAAGAGGCGCGAATTATTGCGAAGCAGACTCACGCCAGTCCAGTTTCCGCCTAAACTGACTTTAAATTTATACTATAACGAGAGTAGTAAGCTCTAAGAGGTTGTCTACATTTTGAACGGAAGGATCTCGAGTGCACGAAGAAATAGCGTAAAAGGAGATGAACTAGAGAAAAAACGAGAGATTTTCGAAAACAAGGGTTTTCCAAATTTGCCCTTCAAAGCAAAAAAGTGGTTTTAGGATGTTGTCAGCGTGAAAGTAGAGAACGAGCGATTTAATATGATATACATTGCTCAAATTGGTTCCAGAACAGCAAGAAAAGGGCATCAGAGCCAAGAGCCTCGTCTTAGCGTTTGGGGTAAAATCGACGAGGCATTTGGCTCTGGTCGTAGATCTCCGCTGTTTCAACGAAACCCTGCAACAAAATATCATTCTGATATTCGTGACACGGCTAAGGGCAATGACAACGTCCCAAGTGTTAGAAACCACTCACTGACCCGATAAACCAGCATTTTCGTGCGCGACTTCCTGCGCACGATTTAAGCACCGTTCCTTGTTTTTATTAACCTCAGCAGCTTCCCTGAACTTCTGACCAGAGGTGGATAGTGGGAGCCGACTCTCCCCCTACCTTCACTTTTGAGCTGGTACAGGGTGACCACCTTCACTTTTGGAATAAAAAATTTTTCCCTGGACGATAAAGAAGGAAAATAAGCATAACAAAGGCAAAAAAGATTATTGAAAGCATATATTTATGTATACGGCGGCATATATATTTAAAATAAACGTGTTCAGTAAATGGTGTATTTGGAAGTGAAATTTAGCGGGACTGTACGGATTTTATTAAGTGAATTTTGTTATAACGTACAGCGAAGAAAGTAGATCGATCCAGGCAGTAACGGCCCAGAACCAGAATTTTGAATAATCAAATAAAATTTACGCCATTTTTGCGTGTTTTTTGACAGTTGACAGTTAAACTCATATAAATTTTGAATGTGAAAGTGTGTGATGTTGCGACTTTATAGGTTCTATAGAGTACGGTTTGCCTTATCAAGATATATCTTAGCCGTTCCGATCCATTGAAACACCTCCGAGATCCAGAGTCTTGGAAAGCAGGTAAAAAGCACTTTTTGAACTTCAACAGCTCATAATTTCTTCAGAACTGCATGAAAAATGTTGCGACTTCGTAGGTTAGATCCTACTCATCAAAAGCTTTCAGATAATATATAATACTAGTTGACTTACCCGGCTCCGCCCGGCCCTGTCATTATTATATTCGTAATCAGCATGCTTGATTACCCCCCTGTGCCAGCTCCCAGCCCCGTAGCACAAATTTTGCAAAAAATCGATAAGATCGATATCGATCGATGACGAAAAGTAGCCTATGACGCCCGCCGGGGCCCGAAGTGTATGTGTGCCAAGTTTGGTCCGAATCGGTTCAGAAATGGAATTTTTTATTCGGAACATACGTACACACATACTGACAGACAGACATACAGACAAACAGACATTCAGCTTTATATATAAGATGTGAGGGTTTAGGGCCTCCTACGAATTATGCCCTGGAGGGAGCCTTTTCATACCAAAGTCTCCCCCTAGCCCACTTTAATGTATTGGAGGGGGAGACTTTGTGATGAAAAGGCCCCCCCCGGGCATAATTCGTAGGAGGCCCTAAACCCCCACACATTATATATCATCTGAAAGCTCTTGATGAGTAGAATCTAACCTATAAAGTCACAACAGTGCAACAGTGCGAATGCAGGCCTATCGATTTGTATCGATTAGGAAATCCTAACCCTTCCCGCCCCAGGCTGGTGGAGTGTGTTTTTCCTTCTCGGTACTACTGGAAGCTTGCACTGTCTAATGCTCGGCTGCTTAGAAATAGTAGCTACTCTAAAATTTACCTTAGACGGAGCATGACGACAAAGGAGAGGGCTCGAGACTATGCTCTCAGGCAATAAGCCCGAGAGCGTAATAAGGGCATGGCCACCCGTGAGTGGATGGTACATCGCAATGAGTTTCACGTATCCAAGCTTCCTCGTAGAAGCTCGGAAAACTTCTGGCATGGTGTGGCTGACTCTCTGCGGATATCACTTATGAGCTCCCGTAGTCTTGTAGACAAATTGAACCTTTTGCACGTTTTCGTTTATAAACATAAACCAGATCTGATTTTTGTTACTAAATCATGGCTCAATGCTAGAATACTTGACTCTAAAATTATGGCTGGTATGCCTTATGTTTTGCATAGAAGTGATCGAAAATAGCAGAGGTGGAGGCGTCTGTTGCCTTGTAAAAGGAAAATGATATCAAGATGCACCAACATTGAGTTGAATTTGCTGTCAGATGGGCTGATTGTTACTATTATGAACCAACAGTCCTTACGTTTACGATTTACTGCGTATACCGCCCACCTTCCTCTAGTAGAGATGATGATGATAAGTTGATGGATGTGATAAGCTCCTATGCTTACGCTTCCGATCATGATGAAACTATTATTCTCGGTGATTTCAATCTACAAATAGATTGGGCGACAATGAAAGCTGCCAGTAGTACTTCTTCGTCCTTTTTGAACTACTTTCAAATCAATGGCTTTGAGCAACTCGTTTCTTATCCCACGTACGTTGGAGCCGTGGAGCCGTGGGTTTGCCATCTCTTCCATTACCAGATTTTTCAAGAGTAGATTACATGGCACTGAACGAATTTCTATCAAATATTGATTGGCTTGCACAGTTCAATCAATATAAGACATCTTCGGAAGTTTACCGTAGATTTTGCAAGATAATCTATTCTGCCCTTGGCATATTTGTTACGATGAGATACAAGAAACGGTTATGAATTTACCGTCAATATTTGCATTAAATATGCAAAAATGTTGCCTTTTTAATAGATTGCATCATCCATTGCACCATCCTTTGTACAAGAAAGTGTGCCAAGATACTAAATTTCATATGGAAAAATTTCTTGCGAATCGTGAGCGACGTCTCGCAACAAAAGTATCGGCTCAAAAACTGTATCGGTATATCAATTCCAAAATGAAAGCCGTGCCACACTTCCTACTCTTGAAGATCTTTCGGGAATTTCTCATTTTACTGATGCTGATAAAGCCAGAATCCTAGGCACTTACTTTGCAAGTGTCTTTATCAATGATGATGATCATGAATTCCCTGCACCTGGCAATACTGCAGTGCCAAAGAGCCATTGTAGTTGTGTATATTTTGAGCCATCTGAAGTCTTCAAGTTTCTGAAGAAGCTAAAGTCGTCCACCACAGAAACTTATAATGGCATCCCTCCCATTGTTTATAAATGTGCAGCTTCTCTAGCGATCCCGATGGCACACATTTTCAACATCTCTATGCTATTAGGTGAGGTGCCGGTTATGAAAACATGCCCTGACGACTGCTATCCCAAAGATCCAAGGAGCTAAGTTGATTAGTTATTTTTGACCAATTAGTTTTCTACCAGCGTCATCTAAAGTCATGGAAAGATTTATAAGAAATAGACTGTTGTTATGGCTTAACAAAATGCATTTGATCCCAGCTGAGCAGCATGGCTTCATTAGTGGTGCCTCTACTACGACTAAGCTTGTTGATAGTACCTACGATTGGATGCTAGCTTTGAATCATCGGAAG